TTTTTTTTTTTTTTTTTTTTTTTTTTTTTTTTTTTTTTTTTTTTTTTTTTTTTTTTTCTAGACTCGAGTTTTTATCGTCGGCAAAGATCGTTTACCTATATACAACGATGGCGAAAGCAAAGCCGTATGTAGATCGGATGTAGGTAGGCGCAGAGAAAAAAAACGAGAGAGAGAGACGACTGTTCTCGTATATAAAATATACAGGTGTATATATAATAATAAAGCACGTATACACACACGCACATTGTACACATACATAAATAAACATAACTATATACTTATGTGTTATTGGAAAGACCAAAGCTGCGCTGTAGATCGGTAAGTTGTGATTGCGGTGCTCTCTGGTATACTGCATTTTTTTTTTTTCTTCAAATTTTCTCTTCACGCGCGCATTTTCAAAGAATCCGCGACGAAATTAAAGTTGTCACAGTCCTTCTGTTACACGCGTACCGGTCGAATTTTAATGTTTTCTGTGAAGAAAAAAGAAAAAAAAAAAAAAAAAAAAAACCCCGATCAATCATCAAAACCTTCCGAATCGCGTGCCCACTTAAAAAAGAAAGAAACACCTACACATTACCATGACCCGCAAAGTGCACATCGCATACGTATATGCGTATATGCAACGAAAAGCCGCAGCATCACAGCTCGCATGCCTATGTATATATATCATGTTATCCCCTGTCACTACAGCGTCCCGGAGTCTTCAGGATTAAGATGAATCAGCGCGCCTAGCCCCGCGAATACCTTAACGCGGATTCATCTCTCGGCAGCGGGCCTGCTCGAATATATATATGTATACGGATATGTGTGTGTGTGTGTTACCTGATGTACAATATGTTATACACGCCATTGGCTTCTGGGCCGAGGAAAACGAAGCGAAAACTCTCTCACGAGTCGAAAATTTGAAGGAAAAACCACAATCTCTCTCCCTCCCTCCCTCTGCCGATTGAGTGTATAACGCGAGTTGTGTCTCTCCACGTAATTAGGTATGCATGTACGCTCGCGACGAAGGTGAGCCCTACACTGCACGTCTTGGCAAAATATATTGTTATAGGTGGTGTACGAGCAGAGTTGAGCTTTAACGGGGCGAGTAGCGAGCTGCGAAATTCTCAATGAGACCACGAGCTTTTTGCTGTACGATGCTCCGTGTGACACGCACATGTTAAAAAAAAAAAAAAAAAAAAATTGTATAATATGTCGTGGATGATTAATATCGACTAGTACGACACGGCTTGTAGGTGGTCTAACTGTATCGAGGAAGGGAAAACTTACCTCGTCCGATCGTGAGAACATCGGGTATAATCGGACAAATTTAAAAATCAAAGCACTACCTATGTACAACTGGAACCACGCACCGGCTGTCCGTCGATGTTACGTTCCCCTGAATCGTGTATTAATTTTCCATTAGCAGCAGCGCTATTGATATCATCGCGAAAACGTAAATAGTACATAAATATATCCCCGATGGGATATATATTACGATTAATATTTCATCCACGCGAGGTGAAAGCTTCTTGTGCCTATAATGTATTACACGCGTACGTGGGGAAGGAAAAAAAAAAATAATAAACAAAATAATAATGATCTTGAATACATGCATGCAGATATATACACGAGCGAGCAAGTTGAAAAATGTCCGAGTCATGACCCCACACGCGCGCGAGCCCGCGCTTCGACGTTCCTCGTGAAATAAGAGCACGAGGTGAAATCTCCCCGCTTGCGTAACTTATTCGTGTAAGTACCGTGTCAAAATATCACCAGAATGACACACTTATGCGCTTATAAAACTTTTCATACGCGTATACGTGCAGGTATTCCTTTTCCCAAAGGCACGATCGTATACACTTTGAATTTTTCCAAAGATCCGAATAAATGGCACTTTCGAAGTTTTTATAATTAAAAAAACGTCCTCTCGAATTGGTTGAAGCACCGGAATATATTGATTATCTACGCGTGGCCGAGAGATCTCTGCATTGCGTCACCGGCTAATCGTAAGCATCTCCATCAGAGAGAAAGTGCCGGGATAAAAAAGAAAGGTCCACAGCCGTTGCTTCTGGGCCCCCCCCCTCTTCAAGATGTATGCGAAGCGTCAAATTGCGCCACCCCCACCGGCTGATCGTATGGTATGTAGATACACGCGTGAATCACGTATTGTACGCGCAGGTACACGAAAGCTGCGCCGCTACCGTGAAATCACCCGTACATTGTCCTACTTACAAAAAACAGTCGTAATTCATACTATACTCGCTGTAATACTAAGCTCGTCATTTTGCAACTGTAAAAACTGGATGGTCCCTCGATACGAGGTCGAGGAGACACGTTTTTTTTTTTTTTTTTCCATCGAATCATACGTTGATGTGACTCTCTTGGATGTTCCAAGTTACGTTTTTTTTTTTTTTACATATATCTGCAGCGCAACAGGTCTTTCGACGAAGGTTCACACGCTAAGTATTTTAAATGTCGGCCGAGGCGTGTAAAAACAGCAAAACGAGAATATGTGTATATATGTATGCTAAGTATATTGTGCGTGTCTCGCGCGAAAGGATAAATCCCCACGGGGACGAGGCGACGACAGGTCCGAAGGGAGATTTTCAAGATGTATACCTAATTATATGTATGTATACGCGCATGAAAAGTTGACCGAAGCTCAGTGCAATCCTCTCTCGAGGGCACCTTGTATATATACATGTATAGGTAAAAAAATCAGGTATATCATCGTACACACGTTGTACGCCCAACATCGGCCTATGTGATTATATACGATCATGATTCGCGAGGGGGGGAGGGGGGTCCCGCGAATAGTCGAATACGAGAACGGCCGTGTGGGCTGTCCATTTAATAGAGTTTGCTCGCAATGTGTGTGTAGAAGCATGTAGTATGGGGAGTGTGGACGCCTGCTTTATT